GCAGAACAAGGCACACGGTGGAGAGCCCATTAAGGAACAAGCAAACACGCAAACATGGCCACCACCCAGCGATACATTGTAATGGTAGGAAATCATTCTACTGGGGGGTTGGTGCAATGGTGCAGCGTTGGGGGGGGGGGGAATTGGCGAACAGAAATTCAATCCGGCACGTGTCGTGCCACTCGGTCCATCTCTTCTCGTTTGCTTTCTTCCCTCGCCGTCTCGTCCGTCTCCTGCCCCCCTCCCGCCCCATTGGTTGTTGGCTTGTGGTTTCGTTTGAGCGCTCGTTGTCGGCTGGCCTCTTCTTCCTTCTCGTGCCAGGAGGTCATGAACCTCTCAGCTCCCTGCAGCACCGCCGCATGCCAGGGTACTCCCCCCTCCACCTTCGCGGCTTCCGTCCACCTTGACTTCGGTGCCGTGTCTTTCGGTAAGGGAATTCCGAGACAACTTGGGTCGGTTTTCGTAGATCCGTGGTCGGCCCCGAAGGCCTTCAGGTCGTCGAGCACACACTTCGGCCAGTTCTGTTCCTGTCCCCCCCTACGTGGCTTCTCCCCCCCCGCCAGCTCGCCGAGCATCAGTCGTTTCGGGAGTCGCCCGTCCGGCTGCCTTGCCAGTGCTCCCGCGAACAGTAGGCGTCGTTGTCGGATCGTGGCTTCAACGCTCTGGCATTCGACCCTCTTCAGCGTCTGGGCGTACGAGAGCTGCCGGTAGGTGTCTTTCTTGCGCTTGTACCCGATAACTCGAAGGAGCAGTCGGTGGTGTGTCGACCGCAGCGTCTGATAGTGGCCGCTGAGTGGTGACCATGTCATGCAGCCGTACAGCAGTGCCTCCATCGCCTCCGCCTGGAGGAGGCGGATCTTGAGTCGGAATGGCGCTTTCGGTCTGTCGAAGAGCTCCTGGCCATATCGCCTGAGGCACGCCCACGCTCCTCTGCTCCTGTAGCTGATCTCCCGGGTGAGGTCGCCATGCTCGTTGACGAGGCCACCGAGGTACCGGAACTCGGTCGTCTGGGCGTATTTCTGTCCCGCGGCTTCGATAGTCAGTGGTGGAGGAGGCGGGAGGGACTGTGATGTTGCAGTCGGCTTGTCCTTCGCGCGCATCAGGAGCGTCTCCGTCTTCTTCTCCAACACCGTTAGCCCGAACTCTCCGAACACCTCAACGATGATGGTCATCATTCTCGCCAGTCCTTCTGCAGACCTCGATACGACGCCGGCATCATCGGCATACAGCATCCCCCATACTGCCCTCCGTACTCGGTCAAGGGGTGTCTCCTCCCCCCCCCCCGTTTCCGTCTTCCCCTCCTCCAAGCACACCAGATTCCGCAGAACAACATCATCCTCGCTGAATCGGATAACGACGACCTCGAGGACCTCGGCGAAGAAGATGTTGAACAGCAGTGGGGATAGCACACATCCTTGTCGCACGCCCTGTGTGACGAAGAACCAGTCCGTCCGATAGTTCTCCGTCGTCCATGCGCACCCGGGCCCGCATTCCATCGTGGAATTGGCGGATGACTTTGATTAGCTTCGCGGGAATCCCGGCCCTGGCCAGCACCTTCCATAGCATCTCTCGGTCCACCGAATCATACGCCTTCTTCAAGTCGACGAGCACATGTAGAGCGGTATTTTCTTTCTTCGCCCCAGCTCCTGGAGGCGACGCGCGACAAACAGCATGTCGACGGTGGATCGCCCGGGTCGAAATCCGCACTGTTCCTCCGGGAGGATGTTGTTGGCTTCGCAGAAGGCGCTTAGACGGTTGGTGATGATCTTGATGGGAACCTTGCCTACGTGAGATAGTAGCGAAATCCCCCTGTAGTTGTTGCAGTTGGACCGGTCGAACTACTGTAAATGCTCAAAGAAGTACCAAACGTAAGAACATGATGAGCACTCCAGTCCAGTACACTTTTGTTGTACAACAGTCTACAAGCTGGTTCACGCAAGACCCAAAATGTCTTCCCCCACTGTTAATGAACGCAAGTACTCACCAATCAACACACTTTTTCTACCATAGTGACGCCCACGCTTAGCCTACGACAGTGACAAAGAAAGCTGGAATTTCCGAGAACACCGTTCTGCGGTGGTTGGGCGCAAAAAAGTGTCGTAGCCAATCAGCGGCCTTCATGCTGTTCAAGAATGAACAACTACAAATACCAATGCAACACGAACCTTCTTCGGCCGTAGTTCAACCCCAAATGACGTTCGAGCTCTAGGGAACCCAACAAAAAAAACAGAAGTGAAAACGGCCACCGTTGGAGCGAGTTAAGCCCGGAAAGGTGGGGTTTGTTTTCGGTGTTACGGCCTTTTGGCGTCGTCAGATGGCCACCGGATGTACGAAGCAACCGCTCAGACAGCATCGAAACGGTTTCCGTCGTATATATCTGAGGAAAGCTTAGATCATCCCCAAATTTGACAGCTTGATGTTGACAGGTATTGATGCTATGAATCCTAAAATATATTCTTCAACACTTTTCACGAAGTTTTCGCCTTCCTACCGGCTTATCGGGGTCTAACGGATAGGACCCCCGGAAGCCGGTAAATATGCCTCAAATATAAAAAATCAAACGCGGTCGGCTCCGGTGTAGGATGTGCGGAAGGATTGTACAAAGTTTCGTTGCCCAAGGAGCGAAACTGAGGTAGAGCGGTCGATTCAAGCGTACAGCAGTTGTGCCCAAAGAGCTCATTTTAGTCTAAATCCAAGTAAATAAGGGGTTCGCAGAGGAAATTTCAGGTTCTTGTTACAAAACGCAAATCCTTCGTTTGGTGTTTTGGAGATAGGTCACGAAATTTTGCACACACACTTGTCCGCAAGATCGATACCATAATTTTTACGAATGTGGTTTTTCTATTTTCTGTTATTCGCCGAATATTCAGGGTCCAGCGCAGCCTATCTGTCCCAGGAACGTGCGGGACCCCGATTATTCGGTGCATAAGAAAACAAATCGAAAACCCCCAATCGTGAAAAGTTAGGTATCGATCTTGCGGACCATTGTGCATAATTTGGTGACCTATCTCCAAAAAACCGAATGGAGGATTATTTGCGGGGAACAAAATTTTGTTTTTTCTTGCGTGAACCAGCTTGTACTACGTTGTCGTGTTCATTATTGGGGGCCACACATTGTCCTCGAACTCTACAGGGACCTACCAAACCACCACAGACAGGCAGACTGCGTAACCGCGGCAATTTGTAGTCTAGCTCTCGGTCAAAACTAGAGAAAGGTAGGTGTAGTCTACAGCAAAACTGGAGGTAGGTAGGTAGTCTAACAGTAGGCACATCGCGTTGAGTGCTAGGGAATGCATATATTCCGCTGTTCTACAGCAGCACTATTGTACACATGGAGTACAGAGTTAGCGCCCGCGAGTTAACGAAATTCAGGCTCACACAAAAGAAAATGTGAACTTGTCCATAAGAACGGGTGCTCAGTCAAGAGAACGACACTAAAACCTATATAAAGTCGCCGTGGGTGTACAGTTAGCGCCCGCGTTTAAGAAACGTCAATTTGGGGTCGAGGCTCAATCTCTTATTTCGTCACCACCTTCGAGCATGGGTCATTTCAGAATTTTAGTGAAGGATCCACGGCTGAGGTGTGTTTCTTAGTCGATTTTTCTTATATATCGCAAAAATATGAGCATTTGTTTATTAAAGTCTCGTTTCTCAGTCGCGGGCGCTAACTGTATACCTATAGATAAATAAGTTTGCAGGTGTTGTTTTATCCTAAGAAACAGAGGCTCCTTTCTTCACGAAAACCATGCGAAAACAAGAAAACAGGGTTAAGAAACACAGCCCAGCGGTGGATCCTAGACTAAACTCTCTATAGCAACCTTGGTGCTGGACAGTGGCGATGAAGTAAGAACCTGAACCTAGGCCCGTGTCGACGCTTCTTGTCTCAGGGCGCGTTCTGTATTACAGTCTACACAGGAAAAAAACGATTCAGCTGCTACCATGTCCAACATCTTGTTGTGGCCTTTTTATCTACGCGTGGCGTGTCCCGAGCACCCACAACTCTGTTGAGTACTGAATCAGTCTACGTGTACATACATGCAAAGTTTTTAAACGTGCTCCACATTCTCCGACATCCCGGCCACTCTGGGTACCGCCTTGATTTGATCATCTGTGTTCTTCCTCCCAGAGCCCATATCCTCCTGGTTCAAACCACCGCGACGGCTTGACATTGCGGACCTCTCTACAAGTAGTACCTATCCTACTTGCACGCTTGCTCTACGAAAAGCTTTACTTACATGCACACACATGAAACCTCACACATAGAAAATTGCACCCTGTCATACACAGATAGGCAGGCGAACTTACAGTTGGTGGCCGTTGTTCGCAAGGTGACAACTAGGCTAATCCGAGAGGAGGGTGAGGATTGACGTATACCCCTGGCTGGTACGTGGTGGATCAAGGGGCATACCACTCGGAGCCGACCTCCTCTCTCCTACGTGTCTAAGCCCGAACTGGCAATATTCAATCGACCATCATTCCTCTTCTACATGACGACAACAACGAGTTAATTGCTGCCCCAGCTACCGTTGCTTCCTCATCCCGTACAGTTACTACATAGTGCGCTTCACTTTGGCCATCACCTACAATAA